TGTGTTTTGAGACAGGGTCATATTCTGTAGCTCAGGCTGGCATTGACTTTATAGCAATCTTTTTACCCTAGCTTCCCAAGTTCTGGTAGTTTAGGAATAATACATCATGCCTGGCTTCTGTTTCTTGATTTTAATTGTATGCATACATACATGTATGGTCAGGCCACACACACACACACACACACACACACACTTACACTTTTAAGTCAAACCTCTTCCTAAAGTTTTAGTGTTTGGGCAAAATGTTCCCCCAAGCTATAAATCAATGTAGCACGGACAACAATTGTGTAGCCTTATATGTCCCTCTCAGGTCCCTCAACTCGTGACCAAAGGCTGCAGGAGTGGACGGTCAGTCCTGCTCATCGGCACCAGTCCCAACTCTGCCTTGAAGTCACACCTCTCCCTTCTCAGGGTGTCTGGTTGAGAACACCACAGTTTTCAGATTTACAGAACGCTGTATCTAAAAGCTGTCTCCTAGAACATACAACCATAACTTTGTAATGTTTTTCTTGTCGTACATAAAGATAAGCAACGTTGTGCCTTTGTACTGCATATTTTTAGTTTTATTTTTTATTGTTTATAAAAATTTTCTATTTTGATGTTTACCTTAAATTTGGTAATGGTAATGTTTCTACTGCCAAGAATTTATATTTTACTAAATTACCTCTTAGTTTATTAAACTGAGAAGCAAAGACTTGAATATACTAAAAGCCAGTGATTTACACATTTCCTTACAGGGTCAGTATTTCAGAATTTCTTTAAAAGGAAGTTAGCCTTAATTAATATGCAGAGTGGATGGTGTGGAGATGCTTGAAGGGTTGAATTCAGCCTCCTTTTAACTAATTTCCTTTAATAAAGGCTTATTATTTATTGTCTGTATTTTTATCTCCTCCTCCCACCCTGTGTATATGGGGTGTGTGTGTGTGTGTGTGTGTCTTTGCCTTTGTCCTTGTGTGTATTCATAAACATGAGTGCAGGTGCCTTCAGGGACCAGAGACATTGGCTTCCTTGGAGCTGGAGTTACTGGCCATTGTGGATCTCTTGAAATCAGTGCTGGGAATGAGACCAGGTCCTTTACAAGAACAGCATGTTCTCTGAATGTCCGAGCCATCTCTCTAGCACTGAACTTACTACTTTTCCCCATCTTGTTTAAGTCAGAGTTTTCTGTTATGTTCATTGTCCTGAGGACTCTTACATCCTCAGTTACTAACTTGAGATGTCTGATATGACTCAAGAATTCACATTTTAAACAGATTCTCAGGTGATGCTGACACTACTGGCCTGGGGACCATGTGTGAAAATCACTTCTGTAAGTTACATTGGATACATAATGGAAGGGGGCGTTTAAACAGTGGGACTTAGTGACTTGGTACTATTTTCTTGTTTTAAATAAATGTGAAGTATTGAAAGCTGGGTTTTTCGGGTTTCTTCCCCCCACCCCACCCCACATAAGCCATTTTAAAAATACTTATTTTTGTACAATCTACACATGGTAGAAACTCTGAATGTTCCAGACTTGTTATGTGAGAATGTATTTTGATTTAAAAATCCTGAAGATTTTGTGGTGGCCTTGGAATGCCTGTTTACATAACAAAAGAAATTAGATCCTTCTGTACTGTTTCCCACAGAGTTTGGTTTTCTGGACTCCAGTTACTTTTTGTGGCTGGATATCGAACCCAGGGCTCCCTGCATCCTAGGTCAAGGCTTGTCACTGAGCTACTCCCAAATTCCTCTTGTCACTTCTATGGGACATCTAGTACTGGGAGTTAAACATGTGCCAAGTGTCTCCAGGTCATGACCTTTAACTACCATAGCCCTTGGAGACAGATAGAAAGTGAAATCCCCAAGTCACATCTTTTGAAAACTAACTGGGCATGAGTAACCCTGAGGGCAGCAAAGATAATGGAGACCCTTTTTATTTGATGTGTTTTCTTTCATTTTGAGAACGATAATTATTTTTTAAATAGTGGACCAAATGTATTAATTTATGACTTATTTATCTTTGAATTGCACTATGTTTTAGTTCATGGGAATGATGGGTGGGTCAAACAACACTGAGCGAAGGTTTATCTGTGCCAGGCATTGAACTAGGTACCAGAGACATAGCACCGTCCAGAATCTACCCTCTCCCTACATTCATGGAGTTTCCGGACTTAAAAAAACCATTTTCATTTTTGTTCCTTTGCATTCTGCTTTTACAACTGCGGAGATGTAGTCCCAGTGAATTAAATTGGTTTGATGTGGGATTCACCACTGTATACTATGAATATGTTTTATTACCATTGATTAATAAAGAAGCTGCTTTGGCCTATGGCAGGGCAGAATATTTGTAGGTAGGAAAACCAAACTGAATGAAGGGAGAAAGAAGGTGGAGTCAGTGAGATGCCACGTAGCTGCTGAAGGAGAAAGACACCAGAATCTTACCAGTAAGCCATAGCCTTGTGGTGATACATAGATTGATAGAAATGTGTTGATTTTAGATGTAAGAGCTATCTAGGAACATGCCTGAGCCACTGGTCAAACAATGTTGTAATTAATATACTTTCTGTACAATTTTTCTGGTCTGGGCGGCCAGGAAAGGAAGGTGCGGTCTCTGTCTGCATTGGTTCTGGTGAGAGCACATTGAAGAGCTGGCAGCCCTGGTATTTGTTTGAGACAGAATTTTATACAGCTTAGGCAGGCCTAGACCTCCCTAAAAGATTCTTCTGCCTCCACCTCCTGAGTGCTATTATTAAAAGTGGGTATCACTATGCATGGCTGGCGATTGACCCCAAGGCTCCGCACATGCTTCAAGCTCTCTACCAACTGCACCGTATCCCCAGCCCAATCCTGATTTTAGCATCAGAAGCATTCCATTCCTGAAAACACAACATTCAAAATTGGCTAGTCCCTAAGACACATGCCGGTACCTTTAATAACATCCATTCCTCAGTCTCCTCCAGTTCTTCAAAATCGGAATTTCCAGAACTCGGGCCTTAGGCATCTGCTTCTTCGAGCTAGCTTCCTTGTTGACCCTCGTGGTGAGTGTAGAAACTCCTGCTTACGCCACCAGTATACCATCTTCATATTAAAAACGAAATGGCACTAGTCTCTCTTTTTTGCTTCTGCCTGCCATCCATTCTTAAGTAACAAGGTAATTTGGCTTTAAATGATCTGTCTCGGTGAGTAAATGTATTGGCAAGTTACGTTTGCCCCTATCCCAGTAAGTCCAAAATAAAGTAGAAGAGCAGTAATTACTAAGCAGACATTGCCTGCTACTTATACGAAGCCTAGTAAAACATGATGCAATGCGATTTCAGAAATCGGGTTTGGAAAATACAATTTTGGTAATCGGGTTTATGAAATATGATTTTAGGAATCAGGTTTATCTTGTTGATCTTGATCGAATTCCAACTGCATGGGGTTTTGAAAAGAAGCCTCCTAAACTAAGTGAGTGCTGCAAAAAGAAATTTATGTGACCTGCCAAAAACTCATTTTGCAAATATCTAGCTTTTATCACGGAGTGACTGGAGCTCATTAACTACTTGATATGAATGCAGATTAACAGGGAATATGTGGTTGCCTGGTCTGATTGCGTTAACCAAGGAAATTGTCTCCTTGGTGTAATGGGGTCTTTCTCTTTTCTGCTTAGCTATCATTCTGTGCTGATGGTGGGTCTCATGAATATGTATAGGAATTGGAAAGAAAGAATTCATGCGGGTCATTTGAATATAAACTGGTGCACGCTGAAGGATTTAGACAAGTCATCCTGAGCACATTTATGCAAAAGAGTTGTTTGAACTGGAATGCTGTTGCCACACCAATTTGCCAGACAACTTTGTGGGATTCTAATTTTGTAAGAATGAAAGAAGGTCGAGATAGTGTCAGATATGACCTGCTGTGCCTCCCTTCCAGCCCGGCACGAACTTTGGGATGCTGGTCACAGGGGTATCATTTAATTTTTCCATATACAGGTCATTTGCTTTCCTGGAAAGGGAACAGTGCCAGCTTGGATCCCTAGTGTTTTTACAGGGTCTTAGAAAGGTTTAAACATCCATACGAGCTAGTCTTCACTGTTGGGCTGTTCACCATTTGCTACGTGAGTGTGAGTTCAGAGTTCCTTTTACCAGGTTACAGTACCAGTGATCCTGGTGTGCCTGGCAGGGTAGCCCCAAAAGCAGAGTTATTTAACTGGCAGGCAGTGAATTGACACTTGCCTAGTGACCCGCGCTCCTTGTGAGCTTATCTTGTGTAGCAGAATTTGTAGAATCTTCATAGCTCTTTTCCCTACCCAGATTCTTTTTCCTTCCTGCTCCATAATGTCTGTAACAGCAAGTGATACTTGTGAGGTTATTTAGTACCAAATTCTACATGTTCTAACGTAAGTAGCCTTCGTCCTTTTATCCCCACAAACTTATGATCTAGAAAATTCGCATCAGCTTCCCAGATTTCCTAAAACTCCACTGTTTCCCTAGTAAAAGGAAGGGAGAGGACACATCACCCTTGCGTTGGACAAACAACATACTCTCTGCTGTCTAACGCTTTCACTTGGTTTGATTGAAAAAAATATGTGATTACATTTTTCAGTTGCATTATTATTTTTCACGAGTATGTGTGCATGTACACTGGTGCAAGGATACATGTACATGCGTGTGTGTACATGTGGAGGCTAGAAGTCAAGCTCAGATATCATTCCTCAGGAGCCATCCACCTTGCTTTTGAGACAGAGTCTCACTGGGACCTTGGGCTTGTTGGTTAGGTTTAACTGGCTGGCCAACAAACTCCACATATCTATCTGCCTGTCTTTCTCTCCCCAGTATGAGGCTGCAGAAGTCCACCACTATGCCTTAAACTTAAAATTAAGTAGAGCAAGTCTTCTCATTTTGTTTTCCTCTTTAAAAGTTTCTTTCTTTTCTTTTTCTTTTTCTTTTTCTTTTGCTGGGTGTGATGATGCACACACTTTTAGGGGAAACAGAGGCAACTGGCAACTGGATTTCTTTGAGTTCTAGGCAAGCCAGGACATACTGAGACCCCGCTTTTTATTGTTGTTGTTTTGTTTTTGTTTTATGTTCTATTACAAGTCACTCGTCTTCCCACATTCATTTTACAATGTATATGCTCTGAAAGAGGTTAGCCAGATGTAGTATTAAATCTTCAAACATGGTATACCTTTTCATCCACTTAAAAATCCTCGATTTCCCTGAGCATCATTTGTAGTTTGGGGCAAAAATAAAAAATTGTTGATATGTAGTTGATGTGGGATGTCCTTCTGACTATGTGTTGCTTTTATTAGTTGATAAATAAAGCTGTTTCAGCCAATGGCTTAGAGAGTAAAATCAGGCAGGAAATCTGAGCAGTGATATACAGAGAGTGTATAGGCCAAGTCAAAGAGACACCATGTAGCTGCCAAAGGAGACAGACACTGGAACCTTACGGGTGGGCCACAGCCTCATGGCAATACACAGATTAATAGAAATGGGTTAAGATGTAAGAGCTAGCTAGGAATATGCCTAAGCTATTGACCAAACAGTGTTGTAATTAATATAGTTTCTGTGTGCTTATTCGGGTCTGGGCTGCCAGCAAACGAGCGAGCAGTCTTGGTTTACATGCAGTGTTAGATTTGCAGTCTGTGTTTGACTTTTCTGAGCATCTGTAAATGAGACAGTGTTTCAAATAATAATATTCACTACAACATGGACATAAAACAGATTTTACATATGTTTGTCATTATCCTACCAATTTCTTGAGTTTATTAGCTGTAGAAGGCTCTATTGTGAGTTTCTGTAATGTTCTCTGTAGTGGGAATCTGTCATCTGCACACAAGGACAACCATTTCTTCCTTTCTAATGCCTGTGTCTGTATGTTCATTTCTTTTCCCACTGAGGACTTATCCAGATGTCCTAGTCACCGTGCTAGATCACAGGTTGGGAAACAGACAATCTTTCCTGGACTTGATCTCAGGAGAATGCAGCCAGTCTTTCACACTGAGGTCTAATCATTCGTGTGGGGCAGGGTTTCTGAAGGATTTCTGTGTTGCACATAGAACTTAGTTGATCAATTCTTGCCTTTCCTGTTCAGGTTGTGTTTTGTTATCTCCCCCTGGGCTTTTGTTATCTCCCCCTGGGTTTCTGAAGAGAAATTAGCTGCCATTCGATTTGCTCCTCTTTCCACTAGTAATGTCTGGTGTCTCCCCAGGGGTTTAGGATGTCTTGGTAGGGATCTGTCCTGTAGAGGAAGCTTGGCACAGTGTGACCAGGGTAGAAGGTGCCCACTTCCCTACACAGCTGGAGTGAGAGAGAGGACAGTATTTTCCAGTGCCCTTGGCTAGAATTAAGGGGCTGGGGTCTGGAAGTATTCTTCCCTTTCTCCCCTCCTCTTCCTTTACCTTTCCCTCCCCTCTCCTCCCCTCTCCTCACCCCTCTCTCTTCCCTCTTCTCTCTTCTCATCTCTCTATCCTTCTCCTCCCCCTCCTCCTCCCCCTTCCATCCTCTCTTCCCCTATGTGGATATGGGAGGGGCTCACAAAGTCGCATCCCTAGCTTGGAAGCTGTTGTTGGTAGTTGGTGGCTGCTTGAGGAGGAAGAGAATCAGTTTTATATAGAAATATTTGAAATAATATGTTCACTTCTAAAATAATCATATTCTACTTTCTTTTTCTTCTTTTTTATTTTTTTCTACTTTCTTTTTCTTATGTAATTTTCAGACAGTTCTATTTTCTGGAAATAACACATTTTATCTGAGTTTTCAAATGTGCAAACAAAGTTGTACAAAACAAATTCTTCTTTTTATTAATGACTGTTTCTTAGAATTTTAACTAAATTATGGAATGAATAGTATGGACCAGGCTCCCTCAGTAAATTTCTTCCCCCTTAGGCTGGTCAGGGTTGGATTCATTTAAAGAAGAGACACTCTTTACCCTGCCCAGAAAACTAACAGACAATTTTGGGTCATTGCATCAAATTAATTTTCATCTATTTTCTGCAACTTTGTTCTAAGATAAACCTACGGCCAAAATGAAGAGGAAGAAAGACCCTTCTGCATCCTTACAACATTTCTGTAACCGGGCTGTTTCCTGCATTAGAAATGGAAAAGGTCGGCAGTTTGTGACTATTTCATACGAAATATAATAGAATTTGCCTTGATTTGGGGGTAGTTTCTACTAAAAAAAAAAAAGACAACTCTGAGAAAGAGAGAGAAAGGGAGGATTTTTTTTTCCATTGAATTGGTTCAGATTGAATGAGAGTCCTTGTTCACCTGTAAGTTTGTCCATGCAGTACTCAGCAGCAGAGTGGCATTAAATAATACTATTTATGCGATTTTTAGTATAGATTCTGGAAGAAGTAGGTAACTTTTCATTTTCTAATTTTTCTAATCTTCCTTAAAACAATAAAGAAAAAAACAAAATGAAAAAAAAAAACCAGAAAGCACACACATGGTTTTGTCTCCCTCTGCTGACCATTTATAGGTACTTCCGTGTTATACAGGAGAACTAAGACAATTGTTAATCAAATCAAACTGTTTTTTCTTTTCTGCTCCCATCACCATGAAATAGTTATTATTTAAATTTGTTGTTTGAGAAGAATTTCATACATGTGTATAATAAAGTGTTTTGATCAAATCCTCTCCCTTCTAACTCCTCCATTTCCCTGTGACCGCTCTTCCCTCCCAACTTCACATGCTCTCTCCAAACCCCACTGTGCTGCCAGTAAGTGCATGGCTGTAGGATCATCCAGTGGAGTTTGGGCAGCCTGTCAGGTCAAGTTCCTGAGGAAAACTAACACTCTCCATTTCCCGGCAGCCATCCATTGCCCACAGCTCCTGAGGTAGGAACTTTGGTGAGTGAAGCCCCACTAATCCATGCTGGAATCTTGGCTGGCTTGATCTTGATCTCATGTAGTCAAGCTATTGTGAGCTCATGTGTGTGATGACCCTGCCATGTCCAGACAACGCTGTTTCTCAGTAATCCTCCATTACCTCTGGCTCTGACCTTCGTTCACCCCATTTCCCAGGAAGATCCCTGAGCCTTTCAGGGGAGGGATGTGGTGAAGATGTCACATGTAGGGCTGAGTATTCTGCAGTCTCCCATTCTCTGTTCCTCGACCAACCATGAGCCTCAGCATTACTCACCACTTTCTGCAAAGAGGAGCTTTCTCTGATGAAGGCTGAGAGATCCACTAATCTGTGCCTCTAATGGTATTTGGGGCAGTTTAGTATTCTGTTCACTTAACAGGATAAAGCAGTAGGCTCTCCCCTAGGGTCTAGGACTTACTCAGCCATGATTTCTTGGGCTGGTGTACAGTATCCTGCATTATTTTCTTCCTACGAAACGACTCTTAATCCAATCAGAAAGTGGTGAGTTGTTCCCCCAACATTTATGTCCCTGCTGCACTTGCAGCCATAACTTGCCAGTCTGGTCTTTACTGTCACTCACAGAGCTCACAACCAGGTAAGACTGTTGGTTGCTCTTCTCCCTCCCCCGTAGAGTGCATAGCACCTTTCAGCACCACAAAAGATAGATCCCCAGTAGGGATGCAGATTCCAGGTCAGGACCAGCTTGATTTCTTCATGTCCTGTGTTCAGATGTATGGCCTCTGTGACAATATGGCTCCAAGAACAGAGACAATAGCCTGTAATGCCGTGTGTGTGTGTCTGTCTTTCTGTCTATGGGTCCAACAACTGGAAAAGAGGTAGCCTACTGTCTGAGCTAGGGTTTCTATTGCTGTGATAAAGCACCCTGACCAAAAGGGAAGTTGGGGAGGAAAGGGTGTATTTGGCTTACACTTCAGCATTGCCATTCATCACTGAAGGAAGTCAGGACAGGAACTCAAACAGGACAGGATCCCAGAAGCAGTGGCTGATGCAGTGGCCATGGACGGGTACTGCTTACACTTGCTTCCCCTGGCTTGCTCAGCCCACCTTTTTCTAGAACCCAGGACCAACAGTCCAGGGATAGTACCAACCACCATGGGCTGGACCCTTCCCCGTTGATCACTAAGTGATAAAATGCCTTACAGCTGGATCTCATCAAGGCGTTTCCTCAATTGGGGCTCCTTCCTCTCTGATGACTCCAGTTTGTGGCGAGTTAGTGTAGCCAGTACGCTAACACATGGCCCTGGTTTTTGTTGTTTGATAGCCTACAGAATATGGAGACGCATTACCCTCTCATACACCCCCACATACACCATGAGGGTAACTTCATTCAAACTTTTTGTATATGTATCTGTACATATTTAGAGCTAGGGTTAGTACTCAGTGGTCGAAAACTTGCTCAGCATGCCCACAACCTGACTTAAATCCCCAACACTGCATAAAAATCAGAAAAAAAATATTTTTAAAAGATTATTTGAAGCTGGGTGGTGGTGGCACATGCCTTTAATCCCAGTACTCAGAAGGCAGAGGCAGGCACATCTCTGTGAGTCTGAGGTTCGCCTGTTTTACAGAGTGAGTTCTAGGCAGGCACAGAGAAGTCCTATCTCAACAAACAAACAAACAAACAGACAAACAAACAAAAGTTCACTCAAATGTGATGATACCGAAAAATTTTCAATATATTTGTAATAACATATTTTCTCAAAAGTTTATTTACAGTATTTTATTTTTCAAATTTTGACAGTTTTCAACACAGTGAATGTGATTTTAGTTTGGCATTCCTTTAAACCTCAGAACTGAAATTTATAACAAAGGGCACATTTAGTCAAAAAATAAAGTTAGTAGAATAAACCGGATCAAATGTTTAGCTGGACTGTCTTGCGCTCAGGCTGTCTGGCATCATCTGGTCCTATGACCATGTCTCCTCAGTCCAGTTAGTCTCTGCCCAGCAGCTATGCAAGTGTTTAGCTTGTTTACACTGCTACTCTTTTATGTTCTCAGGAACTCTTCCTGCTTCTTAGAGACGACAGAGTCATCCAATGCATGACGTTGACATGCCAGTCCTCCTTCCTGCCCGAATCTTGGTAAGAATGACTCTTCATCTTTGCCTCTACTGTATACTCTCGGTGAATGGGATTCCTCTCTGGTCACCGAACAGCCGAATGAAACGACCTCCAGATCCCACGTCTCCAGGTTCTCCAGATTATACTCGACAATTATATCATCCTTTCTTTTCTCTGTCTTTACACTCTAGTGTTCTGCTGTCATTTCATGACCTTGCTTGACTTTCAACTACAAGTGGCTTTGGCTAATTTAAGTTTAAAGAAGCGGGGTGACTCTCTTCACAAAATGCACACGTCTAATCTTCGAAGGAATATGCCAGGGCTGCTTCATGAACTGGGCATCAAGAGCACCTACAGTGTCCTCTAGGATCAATTGTCAGAGCTCAGCTGAGGAAGCTGAGCTAATGCAGTTGAATTCTCAGGAGTCAGACCAGCCAATAAGTGCAACCAATGAAGAATCAAACAGTTAGATCTCCAGCCACTTCTTGTGATGGAACAAGGCTGTTTCTACTCTGTCTCTTTCATGGACCTGCACGTTAAGTCTTGGGTCAAGTCCATGTATCAGGTACCAGCATGGTACCAGACATCCTGAGGTCTTTGGGGGAAGTATAAGGATGGACATGTTGTCTTCTGGACCACTGGATAATGATGAAACTTTACCATTCGAGAAACTTTATACATGGAGGGCCTACGGTACAGGCAAAGTCCTATGTATAATAAACCCTCTTGCAGTTCAGGGAAACATATGACTATGTAGTTGTGATAACCAGGAAGTGTGAACTGATTGGCCTATGTAATCTTGAGGGCTTGGTTTCTTTCTTCAGTTGCTATTAACATTGTGTGAGATTATGGGAACCATCAGGAGACTGTATCACACGGGAGACACTGCAAGGCTAGAGGATGTAAGGGGGCCAGGCATTTCTGAGATCATGGGAACCATCGGGAGACTGTATCACACGGGAGACACTGCAGCGCTAGAGAACATCAGAGGGGCCAGGCATTCCACACTCGATCAGTGAGGAGGCTGGGCAACCCTGAAAAGCCTGTGTAGCTGCTCATGGTTCTCGTGAGGCACATTAAGACCCCTACCTGTTTGTCTTGTTAGAGCCACCACTTAACTTTAGTAGTGCTGTGTTGGCTCTGGTCCCAAAAGAACATAACTGAGCCCATCTTGTCAATTTACTAATCTAAGCAAACAGTGAGGAGAGAGCCTCTTAAAAATCCTCTGTAAATAAAATATGGGTGGCTATATTGAAGATATGTGTTTGGATTCTTTTCAAATGCAGTGGTATTAATAATTTACTTCAGATTTTCCTTTAACACAAAAAGTCTTAAGTAAATTTTGAAGACGTTTAATGAATTACTGTTCCTTATAAGCTATCATAAGGATGACATTATGAGGCTGGAGAGAAGGCTCAGTTACTAGGAGTCTTAGAACTAGAATTTGATCCCCAGCATCCATGTTGGGCAGCTTATAATCCTATTTAAGAAGGATCTGATGCCTCTGACGTCTGTGGACAACTTCACTCACATACACACATGCGTGCGTGCGCACACACACACACACACACACACACTCACACACACACGTATTCACATCCACAGACACATACATGTGCTGTAGGAATTCCTACAACCAGTAGCCTTTAAGTTACGGGCCCACTTGGGTGTGGCCTCTTATACTATAAATGCTAATGTAAAGGAAGTGTCTGGCCTCTCTTCTGACTGCGGGATTTGGTTGCTATTCCCCGTTTGAGCAGAGAACTGTAATCTGTGAGTCTACCCCTAAATAAATAATCCTCTATTATACTCTGGGATTTCTTTTAAGCATCAGCCTTCAATCTGGTGCTCCACATGGATCCAAACTCCACACCTATGGGGTGGACTGTCTTAAATTAAAGGCCTAACGGGTCCACAACCCAGAAAGTTTCTTACCTTTGCCTACTTTTCTTGTTTTTACCCACCGCAGGGTTTGTGTGTGTGTGTGTGTGTGTGTGTGTGTGTGTGTGTGTGTGTGTGAAACCCCCACCACAAAGCTAACTGTGTGTGGCAACTTGGAAATTTCCCAAGCTCGCAACCCTCCCTCCCCCCAGTTGCCGTGTTCCCTGCCACATGGCAACTTGTGCAGCTTCCGGTTTGTACTTCCAGCTCCTGAGTTCTGGGCTTCTTGCTCCATGTACAGAATTGATTTAATTGCTTTTAATTTGTCAAGCAAAGCATATATCTCAGTATTTACCCAGCACCAAGGAGGGGAAACCAAAGCAGCTCAGGACTGTTCATAGCACCAGGTTGCGCTGCTAGTCACGACTCTGCAACCATGACACCTGTTGGACAATAAAGATTATTACATCTAAAACAGTTTACCGGACCTCATACCAGGTAACTATTTTATTAATTAATAACTCAATAAACCTGAAAGTTATATAATAGCAGACAATATTACTATAGAGAATTTTAGTAACTTTTTTTGCTATTACTATGTATTGTATTCTGCAAGGCTATATGAGTATTGTGATAAAGCCATTTATTGGTTATTGAGGCTCAGTTTTTTTCTTCATATTATATCCTTAAGAAAATGGTTTGATAACAGAGCCAAGAATGAGGCACTTTTAGAAATGATACAATCTTTACAGACTAATAATGAACAGCTGACAGGATTAATACCACTGGAAATCAAAAGTTACCTGAAAAAATTAATACTATTGAAAAAGGTAACATTAATTTGGCAGACAAAATTGAATCAATGACAAAGGGTACTGAGAAATTATTTGAAAGAATTCATACTGTTGAATTTGGCAATCAAAATCTGTCAAGAAGTTATGACATGTTAGCAGATGGAGTATCTCTCCAGGAAGGCAATCTGAACTCTATCCAAATAATGTCCAAGGATGAGGTGTTATCTTTAAAGAAAAAACTTCAGACGTTGGAATCACATGAGCAGAATGAGAACCAGAGGCTAGGTGCCTCAATGAAATCACTAGAAATATACACAGGCCAAGAGATTCAGACTTTACCAAAGACAACAGTAAAAAGATTAGAAATTATTGAGGAAATTATTGGAGCTGATGAACAGGGAAAGAAGGCACAAGGACAGGATTCAACATCACCAGTAGCTGTCAGAGATGACTTACCTAGGGGTTTAGCTTCCTACCCTGTAATCTACTCTGACAAAGCATCAAGTTCTAAAGGCCCAAAAGGATCCAAAGAAGATAGATGGATACCTATAGGAATTAATGATCTAAAAATAATTAAGCAAGCAGTAGTAAAGTATGGCTTGCATTCTGCATTTGTTAGGGAGATGATAAAGACATGAACTAGCATTAAAGCAACGTCACATGTCTGGCTTCAGTTAGTTTCAGCAGTCCTGGATGATGGGACCTTAACTGATGTTTAAATGTTATTTAAGGGAAGAGGCTAAAATTTTAGAACAACAGGGAAAAGTCAAAGGACTTGAAACTTCCCAAGATCAAATTCTTGATGAGAGCACTTATGCTGACCCACAGGCTCAAGCCCTTTCCAATGAACAAATCTTGTCCCTATGACACAAAGCAACCTTAAATGCTTGGGACAAGATTCTAGAACTAGGAAAATGAATTGAATCGTAAACCTGGGTTAAACAGGGCCAGAGAGAACCCTTTAGTGACTTTTTACAAAGATTACAAATAGGAATAACAACTTCAGATTCTAGATGAGTACTTATTGAATCTCTGGCTTTTGAAAATGCCAAATTAGAATGCAAAAAGATACTTTAGCCTTTAAGAGGTAGATCAGCACCAGTGGATTAATGGATCCTGCATACAGTGAACATTGAGACATTTGACTATAATACCGAATCTTGGGTAGGAGAAACAATTTCCAAAGGAAAGAGGAGACATCAAAATGCCAAGTGTTTTAATTGTGGTAAAATAGAACATCTGAGAAGGGATTGTAGACAAGGAATTCCTAGGAATAATATCTCCTCTGGGAATGGCAAAAATAGGAGGACTCAGCCTTCAGGTATATGTAGAAGGTGTGGCAAATACCAACATTGGACCAATGAATGCAGATCAACAAAAGACAGACAAGGCAACCCGATACCATTAAGAAACTACTTGGGAGGCCTCTTGCAAGCCCCAAGCCAAAAGAGGCCCAGTCATTCCCAGTCACTGTGGAGGACATGTCTCACTAGGAAAATTTAAAAATCCAGAGCCTTCTGTAAAAGACAATACTGCTATGGATGATGGAATAAACGTGGAGGATAAATAAAAAATTCCAATAGAAAATAGGAAACATATATTCTGTCAAATTTCTATAAATGATCAAAGACCAAAGCTAAGAATGCCTATAAATGGCATTGTAATTGTGGGTTTGATAGATATAGGTGTGGATGTGAGTATCATTATCCCAGAATTTTGGCATCCAAATTGGCCTCATCAAGAGGCAGATGTTCAATTACTAGGAATTAGAACCCTATCTCAAGTGAAACAAAGCACAAGATGGGTTGAATGCATACAGCCAGAAGGACAAAGAGGAAGGTTGAGGCCATATGTGACTATTATTGCAATGAATTTATGGGATCATGACCTGCTGCAGCAATGGAATACCCAGATTAACATTCCTGCAGTCCCAGGACCTCATAATTCTGGGAAGGATTTATAAGGTACTATACACAAAGGTCACCAGTCATTCAGGCTGTACAAGAACACAAAGCAACTAGCAAACCCTTCGAGGTACCAACAGACCCACCTTTAAGATGGTTAACTGATAAACCAATATGGGTAAACACTGGCCGTTAACAGAAGACAAACTCAGACTTTAGAACAGCTGGGACAGGAGCCACTAGACCTCACCATATTGAAGAATCAACCAGCCCTTGGAATTCCCCTGTATTTGTTGTTAAAAAGAAATCAGGTAAATGGAGAATGGTTACAGATCTAAGAGCTGTCAATAAGGTAAGTCAACCTATTGGCCCTCTACAATCTCAATTTCCTCTGCCTTTCCTATTACCAAAAGGATGTCCTCTTATAGGAAAAGGACAGAGAAAAATTTGCCTCCACAGTGCCTATTTATAATAATTCTCAACCTACTAGGAGATACCAGTGGACTATCCTTCTACAGGAAATGCTCAACAGCCCCACCCTATGCCAATACTTTGTAAGTCAGTCATTGGAAATAATACACAAAAAATTTCTAAATCTATAATTTACCATTACATTACATTTTGCTATCTGATTCAAACATAGATATTTTAGAAAGTATATAGAAAATAAATAAAAAGTATTTAGAAAGAATGTTTGAAGAAGTAAAGAAAGTTTTGCCAAAGTGGGGATTACATATTACTCCTGAAAAAATATAGAGAGGAGATTCTGTCAATTTATAACCTAGGTTATAAAATAGGCTGACAGACAATTAGAACACAAAAGACACAAATTAGAAGATAGGAGGAGAGACACATACTTGCACACAGACATAGGCACACCTACATACATACAGATACATCCATAGACACGCATCACACACACACACACACACACATGTACATATGCACAGACATATGCACAGACACAGATACACACACATACATACTGACACATACCCAGAAACACACACACATACATATTATACACACACATAGTCACAGCCATTTATATGCAGACATACATACACAGACATGTACACAAAAACAAACACAGACACATAATAAATAAATAAAGAAAATAATAAAGATAAGTCATTTTTTAAAGTGACTTTAGGTTCCCACTTCTCCAGAAAGGATTATGGAGAGGTCCTTTGTTTTTTTACAATGCCTTAGGAACACGATTGAGGGATAAATGGGCAAAGATCATACTCTCACACAACATCAATATTTTAATAGATATATTACATACTTTAATATGGAAAAATAAAGTCTCTATATATCCAATACCCCTTGTTTTCACTATGTTTGAATGATGGCTTTATTGTTTGTGTAAAAATAACTCACTTCTGGAAATTCAAGTGATAGGGAAAGATAGAAACCAGAATTACAGATATCTCATAAAAGGAAATAAATACCCTGAACATTAGTCAGACCCTAATCCTGAGATGACCCCAATCCTGGATATCTAAGCCTCAGTCAAGGTACTGTGTGTGCAACACACGGGGTGTGGGTTTAAAATTCTGTTCTGTTTCTAAATCTCTAACGTAGCTGTGTGGGGGGGTTCGTTGTTTTTCAGCTTCTTTGGCTCTGTTCTTCACATCTAATCTCGTTTTCTCAAGTCTTTTAGTTCTCGTCCAC